GGTTATTTCAGAATTCGCATATCGGCTAATTACAATCTAAGAAAAATGTAAATGACATCGATCTAAATGTACTCTTTTATACCATTACACTTTCTTACTTTGTACCTGAACTGAAAAAGAGAACTAAATGTACTTTTGTAGCAGAATAAACCAGGATATTTTTTTCTATATTGTTACTTTTTCGCTTGCTTTGATAATTAGATTTATGAAAGCGATTTTTAAGGATTAAATTTTTTGAAAATGGTTGAATACGAACTGAAATTAACAAGGCAAAAAGGAATTTAAAAAAAGCAATATCGAAATTACAATATATTTTGAGCAATTTTCCAACCTGGAAAAGTGATAACATTTCTAAAGAGTGTGGAAAAAGTTTAACCAAACATTGAAACATAATACTGATTATAACAAATAAATTAATGGCGTGAATAGCAATAAATTATATGTTAATAATGATTGTACGCCGGAAAAAATTATATGCTAATGGAAATTAAATGCTGGTAAAGAATTATATGCCAATGCAATAGTTCTGCTTATATAATTGTTGTAAAATAATAGACTTCGTAGTAATAGTTAATAAAATAGTTCCGTGACAAAAGTAATAAAAGTCGAGCTGGATGAGAACATGATGCTGCAAGTTTCTAAAAGTTAGCAAAGAATTCGAACTCTAATTAAACAGTTATCAGCTAGCTATTAAATCAAACTTTTTAATGCTTATCTGAAGTCAGCAAATGATATTCATATATATGAATACGTATTATGTTGCTAGTTGTTTGAGTGATGTTGAATCTCGGAAGTTTAAGAAAGTTCTGAAATTAAAGCATTTCGATGTCTTTCATTAATTTCAATCAACAGAATCTACTTTCAAAGATTCATTTTATATTATTCTGTGAAAATTGATTATTTTCATTGATCATTAGAATGAATCACAAGACAATAAATATAGTTCTAGTGCAATGGTAACAACCAAGCCAAACGGAATTTTTCCTGGATACTCAAAAACAAAAACAAAAAATATATTGTATACATATTGCTCCGATATAAATGTTTCTACATAATTCTGTATTATATCACTTAATTTTGAAAAGTTTATAATTAAAGGAATCCGAAAAACGTCAAACATGCTTTTTGTCAAACTATTAACATTGTAAGATTTCAGAGTTGATAAGAACAAATTGCTTTTTAACATTTGCACAAGCTCGTAAACAATCAGTTAAATTAGTCGGTTAAACAACTCTGTTAAAATAGACAACGATATAATCCACTCGATATTTCGTATTTACTGACCACTTCATGCTGGGTTTTTTTCATATTTTTTTATAAAACGTGGAATTTTAATGAAGTATAAAAACGGGATAAAAATAATCGTTAAATTTTAATGAGCGAGTAACTATTATTGAACTATTCTAGAACTATTTATTGAAAACAAAAACAAAACAAAAATAAAATCAGTGAGCATTAAGGAAAATAAAACAGTAATTAAACTTAATAAAATAAGCATCTATAGAAATAAATAAATATGAAATAAAATATAAAACTGGACCTCTGTTCTATTATTTGTTTCCCATTTTGATATCAAGAACCTCTAAAAAGTAAATCAAAAGTGGAGTGGCTTTTAATCATTACCTTTTTAGTAGCTCAGTTATAAAGTATTTTAAGAAAAGTATTTTTTGGAAAATCCCTAAAAGTCTTTTTAAAAAAAAAACATTCTTAATAAACTGGAATTTGAAAATAAATAACTGTCTGACAAGTTTCTTTTTAGAAATATCTTTTGTACCGTCAAACATACTTTTAAACTCAGTAACGATCATACTTCTGGTATGATACATAATTGCAGAAAATAGCTGGGTTTAAGCTATAATTAATTGCTCAAGGAACAAACAATGCTTTACTTTCTTCTGTGAGTTTAACGGCCCATCAGAACTGTCACCAGTTTCAAAAACGTATTTCTGGTAATCCTTTTCGCTTCGAAAACATTTTGACTGATCCCTAAGAGAAATAAAAATACGGTTTCATTTTTTTAAAAGTTATTGGTAAAGAGTGGAACTACAAACAGTATGGAATCAAATAAATAAATTTTTTGCTCAAAATAGATAGGCATTAAATTTTGAAGACTTGACATTGTATATCTCTTAAAAGTATAAATAATATATAAAAATAGATGCAGGTAAATGTGGACCTGTTTGAAAAATAAAATTGCATTGAATTTTTGTAACTGTTTTGGACTTCGAAGATGTTGTTTTTAGGTTACTTTATAAAAATTTGAAGATTTTTCTCATTAAAGAGAGACATTGTTAAGACGTCATCATTTTTAAATTAAAGTATGTCTAATTAAAATATGTCATTATTTTTTAATTAAAATATGTTATTATCGCTGAAAAATGAACGATATTAATAACTATAAAATTTCCTTCCACTTTTTCTTAATTCAATAAATGTTTTAAAGATAAATATTTTAAAGAGATTTGAATATCACGCAGTATTAAACTTATAATTATTTTTAATGTTTTTTTTTACAAAGTTATGCTTATCAGCGCTATGCACTATGTCAAAAACTTACCACTTAGCAAAATTTAACGAACATTACAACATAAAAATTTAAAAAAAGGTTCATGTACGAGATCTTAAATAAATTACTAACTGGAACAAAAAAAATTGTTTCTAATTTGATATTAATTGCGAAGAGAAATAAATCCATGACCTTTGATTTTTTATAAATAAACATACATAAAAGAAAAACAAATTCTGATGCGGAAAAGGTACATTTAGTTTGCATCAATAGTAGTTTTTGATTGCATTTTCTCTTAATTTAATATGTATTTATTATTAAGTATTCGCTAATAACATCCTAATAGAATTTAATCAAAGCATATATTTTTTTATATTATAAAAAATGAACTTAGGGTTTGTATTCCGACCTTTAATAACTTATTTCGTAAACTAAATGATATTTTTCATTTGTTAAGTGATTAATTCCAGTTACAACTATTTTAAAAGAGCAGGTTCAAAAATTAAAAAAAATCTTGTCCGCCAATATGCATTGTTTTCAAATTTGACCAAGCACCTCTTTTTTCTGGATAAATATTATTTAATGAATTCTCTTTTTAAAGCATTTAAATTCCTCTCAATTGTCAGCAATTCAAGTATTTTTATTATCCAACAATATAGTCATCTGAGATGTAGTTTGTCATGAATTTGAGAGGGAAGAAAAATGTAATACATTGTGACAAAAAAAAGGAAAAAACAGAAACATCTTAGCAATCCAATATAACCAAGAATGATGGAAGTAAAACATGAAACTTGAAATGCATTTTTTTAAAATTTTTTTTTAAAAATTTACGTCCTTTAAAGGCCATTCTCCTGTAGGAATGGCTTCTTGAAATGTACCGCGGAGATTCCGCATTGATCTCTGCAATACCACTGCAAGCACTTTTTGATCGTTCTGATTGTTTCTTCTTTAAGTCAGATACAATCTCTTCGAAGTTAGTAATCCAACTTTTTTTCGCGCATTTTGATGTGACGGCACCATGACTTCTTAAGTTCCGAAAACTTCATAACACCCTCTGTTTTAGCTTCCAAGCTATCAGTGCTTTAATACAGCATTTTTATGCGAACATACGCTGTTGCCCATTCCACTGATCCGTAGTCATTAAAATGGCAAAGTGTTTACTTACTCAGGTTCACTATTACGCAGTGCTGCCACCTGCTCATGACTGCATTTCAAAAATTACCTTTTTTTTCACCCTATGTAATTTAGTGTATCACGATCGCCGTAAAATCTCATTGTTATATATTTTAATTCTAAAAATTATCTTTATTTTTCATCTAATATTTTCTTACATGCCTTCACATATCGCTTTAACATCACACATAATAGGAAATAGAATAATTTCTATTACTTAATAAGAAAAATTGATAATACCTGGAGTTTATACATAATACCATAATATATAATCGTACCATAATATCAAGAAAATATAATGCAACCTCAGAAAAAATCCAATTAAGCTATTTTTTCAAGTTAGTAGTGCAATAAAATTTAATAATGATTATTTTTTGGATCTAGTCAGCCCAGTCATTCAACTTTACTGAAAACTTCCTTCAACTTTACAATCAACTTTTCTGAAGAGAAAAGGTTGCATGTTATGCGAATGTTAACCACATCCCTCAAACATACTTTTGGCTACAGAATTGTGAACCCTTAACGTCTGTGACCACCACGGCTAATAACGGGCTATTGCGGGAGTGATTTGATTGAAGATTCAATTTGATTTAAGCATGCATGCAACATATATGTTTCAAAATTTCGAACAGCGAAGACTTGGTGTTATTATAAATAAAACTAATTATAAGTATTCATCATCCATCCATATTTTTGTCACAGAGTAAAAATTTCGTAACTAAATTATTAACTTTTGTACACATTAAAATTATATTCTTTTAATTAGCTCAAAGCATGATTGCTTAGTTCAAGGAAAAACTCAAGCCCTCCGCAATATTCGAGTGGCGTCAATTTCATTCTAAAACAAATAATTACTTTAAAACATAGTAATAAACGTTTAAAAACACACATCATTTAACAAAAACCAAGCTAGCAATTATAATGCAATAGTTTTTACATACTTTNAGCTTAAGGCATCTAGAAATATACACTATTTACCAATAAGTGTTTGGACACGTGTGATTGACAAAAAAAACAAACTTTATTCATAATCAATAGTTGGTAGAGCCTCCACGAGTGGCAATTACAATGCGAACCCTCAGGGGCATACTTTCCACAAGTCCTTGTGTGACAGCTAGTGGTATTTTCTTCCACTCGGCTTGGAGAAGACATGCAAGTTCCTTCACCGATTTTGGAAGCGTAGTAAATTCGTAAATCCTATAATTCGGTGTTCCAACTCGTCCCTGAGGTTCTCGATAGGGTTCAGGTCTGGGCTTTGGGTGGGCCAGTCCATTTGATTAATCCCATTGGCACCATACCAAGCCTTGGTGTCCCTCGCTACATGACAGATGGCATTGTCGTCCTTGAAGTAACAGGAGTTCACCCCGTAAAACTGCCACAACGTAGGAAGCGCATTGTCATCCAAAATAGTGCAGTAGGCATCTTGCATGGGACTAATGTCGATGTTGTTCCCTACACGATATATACCGGCGGAGGGTGTGACGTATCTCAGGATCGCAAATATAGTCATTTGCATAGGTGTCCAAATACTTATTGATAGATATGGTAGATAATGTACATATATATATATATACATATCTGTACACTGTAAAAAAATCGGATCAAATTACGATAACTAGTAAAGTTATTCAGGGTACTAATACTTTCTACCGTAAAATTCATTTTATCCGTTAAGTTTTACGGAACCAAAAATCTGACATATCGTAATATTTATACCGTATTATTTTCTGAGAAATCACCTAATCACTTTCATTAAATAAATACTACAGGAAAAATTACAGTATAAAATTGTGTTGTAAAAGGGGATTTTACGGATGCTGTGCTCAGGGTGTCAGTACTTTTTCCGCAATTTTTTACATTGTGGTTTATATAATTTTGTATTTAGGAGGAAATATGTTTCAGCTTTATAAGATTATGAACATAAACACGAACTTCTGTTTAAAGTAACCTTGATGAAAATAACATCCAACCCAAGTAAATGAGTGAACAAGGAACTTTACGTAAAAATAGATGCATTAAATGTAGCAATTCTCCATTGTAGCATTCAATTTTTTAATATTATAAAACATTTAAAAAATATTACCGAAATAGCCTTCTTTCTTCTACATAAATTCACGCATCTTCATTTAGTCAGATTTGATTTATGCTTCAAGTTACATATTATTATGAGATAAATGCATCATTTCCATAAAAGAAGTAAAAATAGCTTATTATGCAATTTTCCGTAGTTTCATTTATTTTGTAATTGAGGAAGTAATTTATTTCAACTCTATGCAATTATGAGCATAAATATGGTCCTGTGGTTAAAATAACCGTGAAGAAAACAACAACTAACCACAGAAATGAGCTAACGAGGGACTTCAACTAAAAATAGATGCATTAAATGTAGCAAATCACCATTCTAGCATGTGATTCAATTTTATTCAAAGCGTTCATGAAGAAAATACATTTAATGAAAACATACATTCATTACAATCCTCCCCCTTTTTTTAATAAATAATAAGAAAGTATACATTGTGTCTTGAATAGTAACTGATGTCTTTTCAGGCTCAAATGTTGGCACTTTTCCAAAATGTCTGTAAAATTTTATTCAAATATTCAGTGAACATGGAAGTTGCGAAATTAGAAAAGAACGCATTTTGTCACTGAGGACTACTTGATATTGAAGAACATCTTTTATTCAAAAATATTAAAATTTTTGCTTTATCCTTTACCTTATACTATATTGTTATTTACCAAGCGTCAAATGAGGACGGGATAGATGTTTTGAAGAGAGTATTACTTGAAAGCCAAAATTAAGCCAAGGAGGCTTTAAAAAATTGAAGGCAAAATGCGAGTTATGCCTCTTTTATGTAAAAGAAAGTCAGTTTTTTTTTTTTTTTTTTATTTTTAAATTTGACGTGAACAGCTGCATGAGACATTAGTATGATAAAAAAGATTGTTTTAGAAAACTAGATAAAAAAAAAAGGATGCTGCTCTTCATAGAAGGTCTTCTTTTTCTTCGTTTGGTATGGAATTAAGTTTAATTAAGTTAAGGCAAACCAACAAGACAGTTGTGTTATTCAATGCATATTCAAAAAATATAGCTCATTCTTTTTAGAAATGTGATAACATACAAATGCAGATATTCTTACCTCATAAATCTGGAAAAATCTAAAAAAAATAGAAGGAAAAAAATACCTATTATATTTTCTATTTTAGAACTATTTAGTGATAAATAAGACCCAACGCAAATTATGTTCTCAATTTTATTCTTTGTAGAAAAAATAGTTTATACAACTGATTATTTTAATTAGAAACCTATTAAAATATTTGTTTTTAAATGGATATTCATGAGTAATGCCTCAATAATTTTAATTAGCCGGTAAAGTAGTTGCTCCAAAGGTAACTTGACACTTATATATCAATAATTATATTATGTAACTCTAATATCTGCTTTTAATTTTCAAAATTTTTTAGTTCCAATTTAATACTCAGGTTCAATTGCTTGTTTAAACGGAAAATTTCCTTTACATCTTTTAGTTTAGTTTTTAACCAGCTTTAAACAGCCGATGCAATTCTGAGTTTACGACTATCAATGCCTTTCACCGTAGCCGTGTAATTTCGAAACTAGCATTTCTGGAGAATATTTGATAGTACTAACCCGTTATTGCGTTGCATTGAGAGGAAAACCATGAATAACTCAGTACTTTAGCTCGATGGCGAGAGAATTCCATCCCGAGTTCCGTCTATCACTGATAGTATTGTAGTGTGGTTGGTTCGACCCGGGAGCAGAATTTTCATAAACCAGTCACAGCTGGGATTCAAACTTTGATTATCTTAACCTCAATCACTCGGTTTCCTATTGCTAGTAATAATCATTGAAAGTTCCGAATTTCGCATCAATCATTTTTAATGCAGTTTTCTAATAAATATACTTACCCTATTCAGAGCCTCCCTGCTAATAATATTACTCACTCCACTGACTAGGAGAGGTACACTGCAGTAAAGCTGTTAAAAATCAACCTATTATTTTATGTTTAAATGGTCACTTTTTGCTGAGAGGAGAAATGACTTTTATGTTGATTAGAAGGTAGGAGTTTTGCCCTCAGTTGCCATATGCAATTAAAAACTTCGGCTTTAAATACATTTTCATGAATGGTTAAAAAGCATTAATTTTTTCTCGAAATTGGGAGTTATGAATATTAATAAACCCCAATATGGCATCAGTAAATCCAAAATAACTAAATCGTACAACAGCCTCTAATTTTAGTGGATGGAAGTTTGATCAAAAGAACGAGTCAATAATACTGTTGTATTTCTTTTTACGAGATAAATCTTAGATAATTGACGGCATTTTAAAGAGGAAAAATATGTAGATACGTTTGTACGAATTTAAGCAGTTCAATTTACTTAGTAGGTGGTAGGTAATATTTATTTACTTGTTGATTCAAACACAAATACAAACATCCGTAACAATTTTAACCAAAATCAGACTCTCAGATGTTGTTTGATAATTTTCTAATAATAGTTCGGTTTTCATGTATGATTTTGAATCAAATACTGAATAAAAAACGTCGGCAATTCAAATTTTTTTTGAAATTTTCACATCATTCATTCTAAACTTTTTTTTAAAAAAAATTTTCTTTATATCTTTATACTAATAATAAATCCTAGAAATTATTTTTTTTCTTCAAATTTATGTCAAACAGAATATAATGCAAGGTATAAAAGAAGATTCATTACTGTGTATTGTATAACTATATATATTTTTGAATTTATTAATACTATTGTACGGTTTGAAGATACAGAAACAGCGTATACATGTAATTTTGCCTCTACAAGTATGTAAAAATCAAAGAACAATTTAAGATTTCTGAATAGCCAAATACAAGAATTTATACAAATGATTTTTATATACATTTAAAACTTAATTTTTTTTAAATTTAATGTACTATTTATTCTATATTTATGTACTTAAAATAAGGCTTTTTCAAAAAACAAATATTTAATTCTGAATTTGCAACGAAATTAATAAAATGTCAGGTAATACTCACCGGAAACATTTCCTTCAAAACCCAAATAAGTGTATTAAATGTACTAATTGCATTGAAAACATAAAATTACTTGACTAAAGTTAATTGCAAAAAAAATGTACTTTAATTATCTCTATGTTAACGAGTTTTTAGAAAGTGCTGAAATTTAAAGAGAAAAAACGGTGGTTGTTTAAATAACATAAAACTAAGTACACTTTACTGAAGTTATAAAAACAAGAGTGGCTTTCAGAATAAAATAAAGGATTTAAAAAGCTAAGTAATCGGAAAATGCTTTACTGATTAAGCTTAAAGGGAAAAAAGGAAGAAGTTTCTTCCGCGGATAGAAATAAAATCCCTCAATTACTCTAAAGTTTTGTTTTCTTAGGGAATTTGAGGGAAATTCTTAAATCGTAAATTTTTAAAGCATTAGGGCATTTAAATTGCTTACGATTTGTTACATCGATGCATTTTCGTTATAAATCGGCGGATTCCTACTGTCTTATTTGGGCTTAAAGTTCTGCAGTTGACTTGATTATACTACAAACACAAACTCCGTTAATAAAGACAAATTTTTTTGTGCGGAAGTCTACAAATATTTATTTTTATTAATCCTTTTAAAAAGTTCAAAATTTTTTTTAAAAAATTACAGAAAGGTCTTTCCTTAGTTTCAATACTCCTCATTTACGACTATTGTTCACGAAGTAAAGTGATAACGGCATTAATAGTAAAAGGTTGTGTGTTTCATAATCTGACATCTTCAACTCAGCATCTGGCAAATGTAGGCAGAAAGTTCTGCTAAAAATGCAATAAAAAAACTTTTCATTATTACAGTGCACATCTATGAAAATGAGCATCGGTTCTAGCATGTCGCAAGCAGCAATCCTAACATGAATTTTTTCAGCTGCACTGTAAAAATTCTGGATTAAATTACGGTTAAAAGGCATCCGGAACTTTTTACCGTAAAATCCATTTTTACCGGAACATGCTGCGGAATGAAAAATTTTAATTACAGTAATTTTTACTGTAATAATAATTACCGTAAAATCAGTGAATCACCCTAAATAAATAAATATTACCTTTACAATTAATATCTAATATTTTACAGTAAAAATGGATTAAACGGTGAAATGGATGTCTCAGATGATGCACCGAAAGTACCAGTACTTTATATCGTAAGCTGATCCGGAATTTTTTACAGTACAGAGTCGGTTAATGGGGGAAGAGTTTATCTGTTATTGTGTAGAGTAGCTGTTGGAGAAATAAAAAATAAAAAGAATAGAAGAAAAAAAATGCTGGCCGTTTTTTTTTTCTTCTAGCTCTATGTTTAGCAGAAATTTATATAGATAAATTATCATTCAATAATTTATTAAAAATTCCATATTCAGTACTTATTTGTGTAATACTTTCATTTATAACAGATATGCTTACATTTACATAGTAAAAATATAGAAAGGCACATTT